TTCTGGAATGATCTGGGAGTGAAGTCGCTCGCCTCGCAATTTGGAGGTCGCGGGTTCGAATCTCCGTAATCGAAAATGCTCGCCCTTTCAGCTGTGGGGCGTTATAATGTGATGGTCAATACTACTATTCGTTGGTAGAAGAGTAGCCTCAGAGTCGGTGGTGGGTAGTGTTGATTAGCTGCCTTTCCTCTAATATATCATTACTAAATTAGGGACGGCTAGCGCAGATAGCTATGGTGGAGCTTTGCGCGAAATTCAAATCAAACCAATGATTTCTACTCATTATATAGATTCTAGTTTTCTCGTAGGTTGATTTATGACATTATGTAGCTTGAGTTTGTTACACATAATTAACTTCTGATACAGAGTCAACTTACTTTTGTAAATGGTTTCTTTTCAGCACAGTGAAGCCTGAAATATGGTTTGTAAGGTGCGAGTATAACATTACAACTAAACTTTGTTTGATTCTGGAAACAGCTGGCTATGAAACGGAAAATTAATGGTGTCTGTCTTTCTTAAAAGTTAACTATGAAAATAATTTTCGAATAAATAAATCTGTATCTAAATACACTGAACAGAACTGAATGAAGGTTCTGTTTAGTTCGTGTCTACTTCAAGTTCGCTTGTTAATAGAATGATTAGCATGTTGAGCTGTGGACCTGAAAGTCCAAGGTTTGAGCCGCTAAACTTGGTCTACTTTATTTTTTAACTATGGGAGCGTTATAACTGTGAAAGTCAGTTTCACTATTCGTTTAATAGGTGTTGCTAACTGGTTTCCGTCCCTTTGGTCAGCAGGGATGGCAATATTTGAACCTTAAGGGTTTGTGACCTGGCCAATCAGCTCATTCGTCTAGTAAAGTGTCGTTTAGGTTTAGAATACTAAAACAAATAACTGATACGACAATTGATATACATACCTAAAAGTATTTTTTGAAGTTACGTGCATTTATGCATAAAATTTGTTAAACCTAGAGAGAAGTTTATAAAGGTTGTCTTAAATATGTTATCCATCAGAATTCACCTTATTTCTTTGCATACTTCGATTTTTAAGTCAAAATAACGATGATAATAATAAGAGTTCTAAAACTGTATTTCAATGAAGGATGTGCAACTTTGTAATTACTATAGAAATTGTTTCTATCAAACACGTTTGATTTCTTTTAGTTATTTATCTTTTTTTAATATACGAAACGCTTAAACTTAAACTAGTGCTGCCGATGTCGGAACTACCAGTCAGCTGATATTTTCTAGTTGTGTACGAACCTAATCATTAAGCACTCATGAAAAGCACTTACTTGTTTGTGTTACAAAAATAAATAGAAGTGTTGTCGTGAATAAAACTCAAAGTCGGAAATAGACTTTCAGCTGTTATGAATTTTCTACTTGATTTAATAGTCTACTATGGAGATCACAGATTTTTATACTGTAACATTGAAGAATACTTTCAGAATCTTTTATCTCTTTGGTATACTAATACCATGCTCGTGCGCACCGTCTTTGGATATTCCGGATAAGATTATAAACTTTGAGAACCTTAATTGACTGCAACTGCCTGTTGAAAGAAGAGGAGACGACGTTTCGGTTTCTATACTGAGGCTTTCTTCATTCTCGTCTCATACTCAAACATAATATTGTCAACTGTTTTAAATGAATGTTCCTGGTGTGGTCTATAGTGGTCACGGTGCTAAGCTGGGGATCAGAAGGTTCAGTGTTCGTGACGCGATGCCGCTGAGCGCACTCCACACTTTCAGAAGTGGTTGTATTGTAAGATTATCTGTCAGTTCTCCTACTTGGTTTAAAGCCAAGTATAGTTTATAGTAGCGAGAACTATCGACTGGGTACCTTTCCTCAGGCTAATAGTTAAAAATTGGAAAAGAGTTAAGTGCCACCCAGATGAAAAATATCAAATATCGCATATTTTAATTGAAAAAACAACAAAAAACACGAGTAATTAAGCCACAATCTTAATAGAAATCTATAACCTTGTGAACTGATTATCACATTTTAGTGACCATCTCTGAAATTGAAGCAAAGATTTTGTGTTTTCATAAGTTCTTGTACAATTTATTTCAAGTGGATGGCAAGAAATATTAGTGAATTTAAACACATTTTGAAAGTAATGCTACCACGATAACCACAGTCTCCATTTTTGATTTTTTTTGAAACGATGGAGAATATTGCTTACATTATATATTTGTATATTACTCACAAATTACCAAATAATTCAATAAACCTGTGTTTGCTATTCATTCAGCAAGTAACGTAAGACGGTCCTCTTTGGTAAAAATGACCAGCTTTGTATATTAATAATTATAGCATGCTGCCATCTAGAGTGACTTATATATAATTATTACTCATGTAGGGGCAAGTGAGATAAGACGGTCCCCTTCGATAAAAACGACCAGCTTGATGTATTATTAATTATAGCATGCTGCCATCTAGAGTGAATTATATATAACTATTGTTCATGTAGGGGCAAGTGAGATAAGACGGTCCCCTTTGGTAAAAACGACCAGCTTTATATATTATTAATTATAGCATGCTGCCATCTAGAGTGAATTATATATAACTATTGTTCATGTAGGGGCAAGTGAGATAAGACGGTCCCCTTTGGTAAAAACGACCAGCTTTGTATATTATTAATTATAGCATGCACGGACATCTAACAAGTTCGGTGCAGGTTTGTTTGGCGAGTATTAAAGACATCAATGTCTAGTAATTTCGTTCTTTGAGGAATGTAGTCTGGTGTCTGCTTCCTCCTGAGAGGTGTAAATATGGGTTACATACCGATGTCCTAATGAGAACACCAGCTTTCTATCTGAATAAAGACCTGCTACAATAACTTTTTGTGGTGTTACGATCTTTGTATATTCCACCAGGTAACAAAGCAGGAATACAACAAGGTCAGCTTGTTTCTTGTCCAAACAGATATACTTGTTCCAGTACTTCGGGAGTGGGACTGCCTGACCAGCAGGCTGTACTCAGATGGAGGGCCGAGTAGTTCACCATGACTTCTCTGGTGCTTCGATAGAGCATTCATCATCATAACAATAAGATACAACATCAATACGTGCACCCGGCCCTTTCAGGCCCTTTTTTAGAAAACTGAGCTCCAAGCTCGTCGAATTTTTTTAATCCAAGAAGCACAACCATTCAACCACAAAACCAACAGCAATAAAACATTTACTGGGAAAGTGCCAGAAACCTGCTGTAAAGGAAGGTGTCACAAAGTACCACAAAAAACACACAGTCACAATTTCCACTATAAGATGTCAAATCACTTTGCAATCATCAACATGTTAATATACACGGAACATATAACAACTAAGATGCAATCTTAAATACCAATAGTCAAATAACTCAGAGAAAAAAAATACATACTCTGTATTTTTTTTTTTTTTTGGTATGAAAAAAGTAAATTGCCAGTTTGATATTCATCAAATCCCCTGCAATTATAGATGGATATTATGATAGATGCCCTTTGCTGTAGTTACGATTTAGCCACCAGGCCATTATAGCCGTTGTAGAATCTTTATATATGGATGTATTTATATGATGTATTGATTATCAAGCTTCCACTTAGATAAGATGTTTGTTATTTCTAACGTATTTTTTTTATACATTATTTTTATTAGAATCACGCCAAAGCTTATTTTTGTTCGTTAAACAACAATTATGTTTCCCCTTCACATTTTAAAAGGCCCCCAGTGGCACAGCGGTATGTCTGCGGATTTACAACGCTAGAATCCGGGTTTCGATACCCTTGGTGGGCAGAGCACAGATAGTCCATTGTGTAGCTTTATATTTAATTACGAACAAACACATTTTAGATATTTTTGTTACATTAAATAACGTGACATAACATCAGGACAATAAGATACCATATAGTCCTTCAAGGCTATTCTCGTATATTTACCCCTGAGATAAAGAAAGGCAAAAAATAAAATAAAAATTTTACTATTTTCAGCGATTATTAAGTTCTTCTTTTAAAAGCCCCTAAGTTTCAACACATCTCCACTTCTTGACACGAATCTGGGTTTTGAACATGTAGAGCATTTATGGTTTTGTTATTAATATTTTTAAATATTCAACTATTATACCTATCTATCGATATAATTCAGGAGACACGGCAGTGTTGGAATAAGTCTCTGTTTTATGTGATTGTTAATAGTGCTTTCGAAATTTATATGTCGTTCTTCAGGCAATACGTCTTCAAGTTTGGGCACGACTCCATCTGTCAACACATTTCCACGTGCCAACACCTCTCCAGGTTCAACATGTTTCCAATTACTGACACGTCTATAAGTGTCAACACATCTACAGGTATTTTTGAAATGTCCAATAACTTCAAAGTACGTAGATGGGAAAATTCGACAGGTGCCTAACACACATTCGGAAGTCTAAACGTATCTAGCTGCTAACACTTTTTCATACGGGAATATTTCTCCGATAATGTAGATGTAAATATGTATAGAAGGACCTTTTTGTGGGATTCCGACACGTCTTCAGTTTACACTGTATTAAACAAATCTCGTGCAACATCTCTTTATTCTCTGGAACAGAAAAGGATTTTCAAATGTGGTTGATTGTATCAAGAAGTTGTGGGATCAACAAACACTTTCCTTGAAATAAAGCTAGATACTGACGTTATGACGTAGATTCCACAGCCTATAAAATGCTTTAAGAAACATGAAAACTGTAGGATATTTATGAGAAAAATGTTTAACGTGCACATATACTAAATATAATTTCCGCTTGAGAACCTAACCAATCAGATCCAATACACAAAATGATTTAAACAGAAATGTTCATGTAAGACTTTGATAAACTTCTATGAAACTTAAAGAATACCTTATTAAAGAAAGATGTACGTGAGCACATTGCATGTGTGCTACAACAAACGTACGTGGAAGAAATGCCAACCATACTAACATCTATCTATCAATTAATAATTATCGTTTAACTGACATGGTGGTCTGAAATTTCGGACATTAACTTACCCCTGGCAGTGACGTGGCCAAGTAGCCAATACCCACGGCAAGTGCATCACTTCCTAGAGACCTTCTGTTGGGGTCAAGTGTAGCAAACACTGTGAAGACCACTACAAACGTCAAGACGAATTCAATTCCAAAAGCCTGCCACGGTCCCAGGTCAGGATGTACCAGGGTGCTCCCCAATGTACCCTGGTGTCCAGGAATTGTTACCCTGCAAGACATAAATGGTGCTAATATAAAACGCAGAAAAAAAAAAGACACAGCGATATTATCACCATGAATTTTTATTCTCCCTGTAAAATCAAAATAAAACTAAAGAAGCTTGTGTTATAAAACCACTCTTTTAAGGAACAAGAAGCTTGTGTTATAGAACCTTTAAGGAACAAGAAGCTTGTGTTATAAAACCACTCCTTTAAGGAACAAGAAGCTTGTGTTATAGAACCTTTAAGGAACAAGAAGCTTGTGTTATAAAACCAGTCCTTTAAGGAACAAGAAGCTTGTGTTATAAAACCAGTCCTTTAAGGAACAAGAAGCTTGTGTTATAAAACCACTACTATAAGCAACAAGAAGCTTGTGTTATAGAACCTTTAAGGAACAAGAAGCTTGTGTTATAAAACCACTTTATAGTAGTGGTTTTATAACACAAGCTTCTTGTTTTATAGTACTAGAAGAAGCTTGTGTTATAAAACCACTACTATAAACTAGAAGAAGCTTGTGTTATAAAACCACTACTATAAACTAGAAGAAGCTTGTGTTATAAAACCACTACTGTAAACTAGAAGAAGCTTGTGTTATAAAACCACTACTGTAAACTAGAAGAAGCTTGTGTTATAAAACCACTACTGTAAACTAGAAGAAGCTTGTGTTATAAAACCACTACTGTAAACTAGAAGAAGCTTGTGTTATAAAACCACTACTATAAACTAGAAGAAGCTTGTGTTATAAAACCACTACTATAAACTAGAAGAAGCTTGTGTTATAAAACCACTACTATAAACTAGAAGAAGCTTGTGTTATAAAACCACTCCTTTAAGGAACAAGAAGATTTATTTTATCCAATTTTTTAAATATCATTTTATATAATAATCCATTATAAAATACGTTTTTTCGTACACTTTTGTCTTAATTTACTACAGCAGTAACTCGTCCTAATTTATCTTAATATCAGTTTGTCTCCTAATAACAGCATTTCTGTACTTCATCCTGCAGCAGTTCTTTCAATGTCTCTTAGAAGCAGTTTGTTCTAATATATCCTAGCACAAGTTTTAGAGCCTCCTGACAACAGTTTGTACTAGTTTATCTTAATACCAGTTTGTCCTAGTCTATCTTAATACAAGTTTGTTCTAGTTTATCTTAATACCAGTTTGTCATAATCTGTCTTAATGCCAGTTTGTTCTAGTTTATTTTAATACCAGTTCGTTCTATTTTATCTTAATACCAGTTTGCCCTAGTCTATCTTAATACAAGTTTGTTCCAGCTTCTCATGGAAGGCATTAAGACAAGCTGCTACTGTAGAAATATTAGAACAAACTGATGAGTCGCGAGAATAAATTGCTATCAATATATTGTAGAACAAGCTTCTGCTAGGAAATACTTGGTATTAAGATAAACTAGAACAAACTGGTATTAAGATAAACTAGGACAAACTGGTATTAAGATAAACTAGAACAAACTGGTATTAAGATAAACTAGGACAAACTGGTATTAAGATAAACTAGGACAAACTGGTATTAAGATAAACTAGGACAAACTGGTATTAAAATAAACTTGGACGAACTGGTATTAAGATAAACTTGGACGAACTGGTATTAAGATAAACTTGGACGAACTGGTATTAAGATAAACTTGGACGAACTGGTATTAAAATAAACTAGGACAAACTGGTATTAAGATAAAGTAGAACGAACTGGTATTAAAATAAACTAGAACAACCTGGTATTAAGATAGATTATGACAAACTGGTATTAAGATAAACTAGGACAAACTGGTATTAAGATAAAATAGAACGAACTAGTATTAAAATAAACTAGAACAAACTGGCATTAAGACAGATTATGACAAACTGGTATTAAGATAAACTAGAAAGAAACTGGTGTCAGGAGAATCTAGGGCAAACTGTCACTATGAGACAGGGGACACTAACTACTGGCAACAACTCGTTATAGCACCTACGAGGTTATAGGTGGAAATAAAGAGTGATAAAATCCACCAGCTTCTCTCTGTTCACCCCATTATTACATAATATGAGTAACGAAAAATATTTTAAGACTCATTTCAAAGAGTAGTGGTTTTGATTTATTAAACAAATTATCGCAGGGTTTCTTCTTTCCTTGAAATGCTCGTGTTCTTGTTTCTGCTACAACTATCCATTTTATACATGATCTGACCTGAAGGCGACCTGACTGACCTTTGTTATCAGTTGAACTCCTCAGATTATTTGCACTCTAATTCAAAGTGAAAAGTTATTAAAATTGGAGACAATAATAACGTTTTTATGGAAGTAGATTGGTTTGGTTGTTGTCATGCGCAAGACTACACAAAGGGCTGTCTATGTTCTGCCCAATACGGGTATAAAAACCCGAATTTTAGCGATTTAAGCATTCAGACTAACCGATGAGTCTCTGAGGCTGTGCAAGTAATTTGCAGTCCGAATAAAGATCTATAAAAATGGAAGAGAATTATAAAAAAATAATAATAATTGTATATTTAGCACAGCATTAATTACTTCTAATATAGCCAGGGCACACGCCTTAAACTGTGTGCTAATTTTCTAGCACTGTGTGAACTGTAAATTAAATAAATATATATTTAGCTTGAGTGTGTGTGTGTGTGCGCGCTCGCGTGCCTTTCACCAAATCACTTCATCCTAAATAACTACAAAATCGATCAGAAAATTTATTTTTTGGCCGAATCACTAGATATCCAATACTTTTTAATGACGGGAGAAATATAGCATAAAAATTATGTCTTTCATAAAATTCGCTTAACGACAGTCGCGGAGCACGTGTTTAAAACATAGTTCCGAATTAAGGAAATTTCATAATAAAATAAAAAGATCATTTACGAAGCTGCCACTTGGTCCCCCCCAGTTGCACAGCGGCGTGTCTGCGGATTTACAACGCTAGAAACCGGCTTTCGATACCTTAGGTGGGTAAAGCACAAATAACCCATTGTGCAGCTTTGTGCTTAATTACAAACAAACAAAGCTACCAAACAGAGCTTGCATTTTTCTTGACGTTTTATTTAGCTATTTCAAGAAAAGGTAGTCAACAGTACTGATATGATCGTTATTACACACTCTTCAAGATAATGCAAATAAATAGATAGTGGTTGGTAACTGAGATAGAATACGATTAGTAGAAAGTTTGGACATTATCCTATATGAACACATGGTATATACAACATGTACATAAATAGATCAGCATCTTCCAGGATTCCGCGTCCACCGAGGTGACACAAAACAGGCATACTTAACCAGGGGTGCGTATCTCATCGTAGTAGTCGATACGGTTTGTTACAAAGTTTGACAATCCTGTCTGTAAGTTATTATCTATATTACTAATACTGTGGCACAGCGGTATGTCTGCGGAGTTACAACGCTAGAATCCGGGTTTCGATACCCGTGGTGGGCAGCGTACAGATAGCCCATTGTGTAGCTTAGGCCCGGTATGGCCAGGTGGTTAGGGTGCTCGACTCGCAGTCTGTGGGTCGCGGGTTCGAATCCCCGTCACACCAAACATGCTCGCCCTTTCAGCCGTGGGGGCGTTATCATGTGATGATCAATCCCACTATTCATTGATAAAAGAGTAGCCCAAGAGTTGACGGTGGGTGGTGATGACTAGCTGCCTTCCCTCTAGTCTTAC